TGTAAGATTAGGTAAGCGTCCAATTTGCATTTGGGCAAGCTTTACGAGGCTGTTTGGATTCTGAAAAAGCACAGGAAAAGAGAAGAAATTTTGAAGCCTGGGAATGCCTTGATGTTGGATATGTTGTGGAGAGCTGTGCAAATGCAGCAAATTGGTAAGTAAAAAAACCATGCAAAAAGGAGATGAATCTTGAGGTTTTTGCATTACCAGGTTTCTATTATTTGCGCATGAAGGATTGCATGTCTTTACCTGATGCTAATAAGACCTTTTCATGGTTTGGTTGCCAAAACAAAGAGGGAGTAGGAAAGAGTTAGTGTGCATATAGGCCTCTGTCTAGGGCTTGGGGAATGGAAAAACTTCACTTGCTTGATATTTCATCTAGAATAAATGTTCTGTTTATTGACTGAATTTTTCCGTTTGCTCCTTACAAATTTTAGATAAACACAAACAAGTTTCTGGTTTTCTTTACAAAATGGTCAGAGTTGTAATTTTTATTTTTTTACTGTCAACATGTTACTTGCAGTGATTCTTGATGTAGTCCAAGGAATTTTGTTTGGGAACATTTAAGGAGTGGATTATGGAATGCTCAGTGAAAAAAAACTAGACTTAAATAATGATTTGGTCTCTGTACTATTTATATTTGTTCAAATTAGTCCCTACCTTAATTTTCAGTTAAATTTGTCTCTATGCTTTTAATAAATTTTCAGTTTAATCCCTTTCCATTGATAGAAGTTAATACCGTTAACTTAGGTGTCATGTACCAAAATTACTAATGCATGTCACCTTTTAATTGGTCCGAGTGTTAGTTGAATGTCCGTAACATTCTACGCGACATTAAAACCATTTAGATATAGACTGGTTTAGACCAGTCTACAAATAGAATTCTGGACTGGCCTAAACCAATTTAAGATTAAAGAAAACAAATCTCTAGTTCCCTAATTTCCCAAACCACCCTCCTCATCAGAGCATCCATTATTGTCTCCTTCCAAATGTCACTGATAACTTGTATTCTAATTGTTTGTTGTCCTCCTCAAAAATCACCTCTTCAAATTTTCTCACCTCCCTAACAAACTCTTCAGATTTTCTTTTCCACAAAAAATCACCAGCTTTCTCCTCTCCTGGATCTTTCTTTCTCTTCCCCTGGACAAATGTACAGAACTCTTCAAATTTTGAAAAGTTCCTTCATATGTATTTTTTAAAAATAAATGAAAATGTAAATTTTAAATCCACTCTTTTTGGCAGCTTTTCTACAAAACCTTGTTGGAAGCAAGAAATATCTCCCATTGAGAATTGTGGTCAACTTTTATATGTATCAAACAGCCAATATTGTAGAGTATTCCATGGCTGTAGCATCAAACAGCAGCTTGTAAAGTAAGTCAGTGTCTCGGAGTTTTATAAACAGCAAGCTTATACCCAGAAAATGTATACCTGTATATGCATGAATATATATATATATATATATAAAAGAAGAAATAAAAACAGAGAGATTTAGAATGGGAATGAGATAGATATTTTGAGAGAGGCCTGGCTGAGTGTTTTTTTATTTAATATATGCATATGGGAGAGTGGGAGGAGGAAGAAGAGGATGAAGGGTTAGTGAGTGTTTTTTCTTAATGGTGAGTGTTTCTTTGTAATTTGTGGATTGATGTGAACTGATCCAGATATAAATTTTTAAGATGCTACGTTAGATGCTACGTAACATTCTTGTACAAGGGTTAATAAAAAGGTGCCACATAGTATCAGACATAACAGCGTTAATAGTAGATTAAAGAGAGAGACTGATGTGGGCAAAGAAAGGGAAAAGAATTTATTTAAAGGGAGAATCAGCCAAGAGCAGAAACTTCTTCCTAAACCATGTGATATTTTAAAGGAAAAGAAAATCCAATCTCATTCCTTGAAGAACTAATTTCACGGTTTAGAAAAGATATAGATAGCCTCTTTGTTCTTTTAATGGTCAGCCATAATTTATCATATTTACTTCTTCCAATTCGTCTACAATTAATTAAAATATTCACATTTAAAGAGATAAGATCTTATCTAGTATATTCTATTCAAAATCTTTTTAATTTTCATTATTTTCTCATTTAAGGTAAGATTTAATTTTCTTATAATTTTCTACCATTAATTTAGAAGATTTATTTTCTTATAATGTACATGGCTTAATCTATAAATAAGTTTTCAATTCACAATTGTAATCAATTAAGTTTGAGAATAATAAAACTATGAAGTTTTAGTTTTCAACTAGTTAGGTTTCATCAACCTTCTTGTTGAGTGAGAATTGATTTAACTTATCAAAGTAAGTTATTGTAGCGTTTTATCAATTTTCTTTTGAATTGATTTCTAACTTATCAAGTTCATATTTGTGGCGTTTTTAATTCAAACTATCTCAATTACTTTGATTGACATTCACATGTTGAATGTAGGTCAAGTAGGGAGAGTTTGTTGAGTGTTTTATGATTTTGAACACTGATGTTATATGTGGGGTTCTTAATCACGTTAGTTGATCTTGTATTCCGTATCATTTGATATCAGAGCTTAAACTCGAGATAAATTTTACTATCTTGCATCTTTTATTTTTACATATTTTTTTATTCTTCATATTAAAAAAAAAAACATACCTTGTATCATTTCTTACGCATAAAAAACAAACAAAAAAATATCATATCCGTATTGTTTTTCTTGCACTCTTAAGTTTTTTTTCTTTTATTGTGCTTTTGTTCTATTATATCTCTAAGTATCTAATTGCACATTAGTTACTTAACATCATACATAAAACACACACTATCTTCATTCGTGTGTTTGAATTGTTATTTTTAAAATTGTTTTATCACTTTCTTTCCGTAGGATTCCTTAAAGTGTCATAAACAAAACTTGATTCAAACAAATTCAATTCTCACATTCAATTTGAAGGAAGGAGGTTGAGTAAAACATAAAGGGTGAAATACATGAGAGAGTGTTATTTTTTTTATTAACCATTTCTTGCAGATTTTCATAATGACCTTATACGATATTTCAGTCGATGACATTTTTTCAAAAAAAAAAAAAAAAAAAATTGTTGAAACTCTGACATTTAAGTGTTTGATTCGAGGACGAATCGTTTTTTAAGAGGGAAGGGATGATGTGAGCAAGAAAAGAGAAAAAAATTTATTTAAAGGGAGAATCAACCAAGAGGAAAGATTTTTTCCTAAACCATGTGATATCTTAAAGGAAGAGGAAATTCAATCTCATTTCTTAAATAACTAATCTCACAGTTTAGGAAAGATATGGATGACCTCTTTGCTCATTTAATAGCCAGCCATAAGTTACCAGATTTACTTCCCCCAATTCCTCTACAATTAATCAAAATATTCGCATTTAAAGAGATAAGATCCTATCTAACATATTCCATTCAATTTTTTTTTTTAATTTTCACTATTTTCTCATTTAAGGTAAAATTTAATTTTCTTATAATTTCCTATAATTAATTTAGAAAATTTATTTACTTATAAAGTACATGATTTACTTTATAAAATAGGTTTTCAATTCACAATTGTAATCATTCAAGTTTGAGAATAATAAAAGTATGAAGTTTTAGTTTTCAAATAGTTAGGTTTCATCAACTTTCTTATTGAGTAAAAATTGATTTAACTTATTAAGATAAGTTCTTGTGGTGTTTTATCAATTTTCTTTCAAATTGATTTCTAACTTATCAAGTTTATATTTGTGACATTTTTAATCAATTCAAACTATTTCAATTATCTTGATTGTCATTCACATGTTGAATGTAGGTCAAGTAAGGAGGGTTTGTTGAGGATTTTATGATTCTAAATACTGATGTTATATGCAGAGTTTTTGATCACGTTAGTTGATCATGCGTTCTGTATCAAAGACTAAATTGAAAATTTTTCAAAAGTAGAAGGATTACTTTTATCGAAAAACAAGACAAGGATTAATTTGAACAAACATTAATGGTATATAGATCAAATAATTTTTTTGCTGACACAGCGGGATGATATAAAAAAATAATTTTTTGATATTTTGGAGGTTAAGATCAGTGTCTTGATCTCTAGTATTTCTTTCATGTTTATTTTTAACTAGGGTTTAATTGTCAACCTTCTTTTCTACAGGCTTGGCAGTGTTCTCCAGAGAACGAGTTTGCCTGGAATCTCCTGTCATTATTCACTACTTCTGGAATGTTGTGTTTGGAGATTAGCTTGGTTGCTTTTTTACTTCAGGAGAGTTATGCCGCTGGGTTGGAGATTTTGGCACGTACTTTCATTATCTCCAGCATCATAGTTGGTACTGATATACTTCTTAAGGTATGTTTATTTCTGACTGACTTAATGTGTAAGCTTGTCTATCAGGTGCATGTACAGTGTATATATGAATTCTCTTGTTTCTAGGCTCACAAATTTAGGCCCTATCAACCTATAAGAATATGATATGAGCTTGCTCGGGTTATTCTCTTTTATTTTGGGGTTTTATAGACGACTATTTTAGATGTTCTTGTTCATTTGGATTGCTTGGCACAACCATAGTTGAATTAGGAGTCCGCCAACTGCTGTCTGAGCATATGATTCATACATCTTAGAAGCCTTTAACGGAGAAGTGTGTTGAAAGGGAAAGGGACGGCTTATTCGAGGGAACAACTTGAGTTGTTTAATTATAAGCTTGTTTCGTGTTACTAGATGAAATATTTGGCATGACATTGGGAAACATGAAAATATGCTTATTTCATGTTATCAATGCAAACTTTTATGTTTTTCCTTCTTAAGTACTCCCCGTTCATTCATTTCTCTTTTCTGGCTATAGGAAAGGCCGTGCAGCAGCCAATATTGAATCCTTACCCTTTCAGAGGAGAGGGAAGGATATAACTCTCAGGTTTAAGCCCCTTTGATTACTCCCAAATTCATTTTAGTTTCTCTATTCTGTGGAGCCAAAACTGGTTCAAGAATGGAGGATGAAAACAGGCTTTCACTTTCCAGACTTAATGAAGTTTTCATATAGTTGGAAAGGGGCTATTATCAATTTGTTGGTATCAGCTGGACTACAGACCTTTTTCTGGATGACTATTGTAAGAATGAACAGTCAAATAACCTATATTAGCTTTTTATTTCCATATTGGCGGTGCATTTTTAAGATATAAATTTTCCATGGTGTCCACGAGACAAGTAGACCTTCAAGGTGAAAACTCTTGGTTACGTGTTAAAAGGTTGGAGAAGAGACTCTAGTATGAATTTTTACTGGTTTTTTCTTGATCAATCAGGATGTATCTTTCTCCTCCAAGAAAAAAAAATAACCATCAGCAAGTAAATTTGACTTCTACTTGCCAGATTTTTATTATACCTATTCAAATATATATGTCCTACTTTTGCTTCGCTGATGGCTTCTTTTTCAGGCAGTTTATGTTTTTGGATATGGGGTGCCGCTGTTTATTGAGGGTACTGGAACTACTGATCGGTTGAAGTGGGGCTTATTGATAGTCCACAAACTATTGCTTACTGTGACCTATGGCTTCATTTTGTTTGTGCATTTGTCAAAATGGAAAGAGAAATTACCACGTGAGTGCCTGCCTAAGGTTATTGTCAATGTTACACGTTCTACTTGCAGTACTTAGGAGGCATGATGACTTCATATAACTTTTTAACATTTAATAATAATTTAGTAACTTCTTATAATAATCACTTGCATTATATAACCGTTCAATTTAAAATATTAGCAAGTTATACTGGAAACATCATGCCTCTGAGGCATAATAGATTTTATCCAAAAATACTTTTTAGTAAATTAATTTTAACATGTACTTGCCTGTTTAAATGTTGCAGCCAAACCATCATTCTACCACTACATCATTGTCATGTTTGCCAGTAGCACTCTTGGACTGTTGGCATGTGGGCTTGCTGCTCTCGGGGCTGGCTTTGGCATTTGGTTAGAGTTACTTCAACTTAGAAACTTCCTTCATGAAGAGACAAAAGTCCTTTTTTTTTTGTTGTGTTAGAAATTTGATTTGATACACGTCTGAAATCCAAGTCCCTAATGTGCAGGTTATACAGTCTAACAATTATCTGCTATCACTCGCTGTATCTTCCTTTCCTGTATGCTACTTTTCTGTCTGACTTTTTCCAGGTGATTATTCTTAAACAATACGTTACTTCCTTACCTTTATTGATGACATGCTAACAGAAACATCTTTGGAAATTTTGCAGCGGGAAGATTTTCTCTTGGATAATGCATATTACTGGGAAATGAGGGATGCCGGGTTCTTTGATGCTATTTTGGATTAATCATGCTGAATATGAGCATAAGAAAATTCTTCTATACTTGTTGACTAATAAATTTGATATAAAGCTGACTTGAGACATAGCAGTGATCGGATTTTCAATATCACAAAATTATATTCTTACCCTGTACATTCCATTCATGCTGGAGTCATAGTTACAAAAGCCTTTTTTAACAGTAGAATCATTTTATTCAGGATTACCATTGTCAAGATACAAACTTCCGGAACCAACACCTCCTGAAGGTATAAACAGAACAGCTTATGTCATGATCCCTCCACATCAGAAAGCTAGTGAAATTGCAAATCTGCCCTCATCATGATTCTCACGAATCATCAAATCACGCACTTCCCTAAAATTGAGCAAGAGAACCAACATGCCTATAATAATCCAAGTAAAATCAAAAGATCATTGAATTCCAGCACTGTCACAAACACATCCAAGGACCATAAAAAACTAAAAACAGCTGGAGTGGCATATGGAATCTGACTACGCCATGCTGCAAATGCGGGCAGATCATTATAGGTTGCAGCAAAAATATAACATTCCAAAACTATTATCAAGTAATTCTCAGATCCAATCTGCCAAGTTTTGGTAGACTACACAATCAAGAACCATAGAGATAATGAAACTCATCGACACCCATTGTAATAACTAAAGCGCTTACATTATTAGTTCTAATCCACAAATTATGAGAGGCTTTGTTTTGTTGTCAAGATCAGTCAATTCTGGCTGTGAAGACAATTCAAAAACCAATTCTCTCCGAGAGAGAGCAAGCTGAATTACAAAACTAAAGATTCTTGACTGCGCTACAATCCGAAACATCCAGTTGTGTTCACAACATTGGTTCCAGCTGCTAACATCCAGTAAGTTCCTCGATGGAGTGTTCTTGCTCGAAACCGATATAGCAATCAGAAACTAAAATCAGCTTTATTCCCTGAAAAATAAAACCAGATGCACTTTAGCAAAACCATAAGCAAGGATCCATTTAAGCATTCGAAAGATTAATCTTTTGGTATTATGCCAAAAAAGATAAGAAGAAAATGATGTAGAAAAAATATGAAATTCTTCATTGGATTTCCCTTAGATACATAAGGTCCAAGTTGCTGAAAATGAGTTCTAATAGTTCCTAAAAACAGAAAAAAGAATGCTGTTTGCCTTGAGTAACTTAGATATTTCACATGAATTAAATAAAAAGCTTATCACCACTAATACAAGTTTTAAACAGCCAATTGGCCAACGAGCAAAGGACTATAACACAGATAACACCATAATAAAGTTCGACAGCAAAAATGTCACTCTTCAATTCCACTCCTTGTCATTTTTGCTGAAAACGTCAAGCATTCTTCTTAGCTTCAAACCTGGTCTTTGACAGAGTCTTGAGAAAACATCTGCATTTTGCTCTTCAGATCTGCAATAAAGCATATCGACTTCTTCATCCATCTCATCTTTTCTCATAAAGAATATTTTATCTTGATATGTTTCATCTTGCCAAGAAATACTGGATTCTTGGCAATGGTAATTATCAATTGGTTGTCACATAAAGCAGCCGACCAAACTTCTCTAGATTCCAAATTCAATTTTCTTTCCACCATCATCATTGCTTAGCATCTTCTTTTGGGCTTGTGGTGCAAATAGCCTGGCAATTCTCCGTTCCAAACTTTTTTAGGACTTCTTTGGCATACTTCTCCTGTAAACAAATATCCCCTATTACAGTGATGTATTTCTATCTAAGTAATTAGGATATCTCCACCAAGTCTGTCATCCCAAATAACGTTGCATGTCTATCTTGAATTTTTCATCTAGATTCTTATTGCTCCCTAAAGTGAATTTTTCATCTAGATTCTTATCCACATAAAGTGAGATGAACAAACATCATTGACTTCTTGTTGCACATAGAGAGTGGCTTCACTTGAGGTTTTGTGACAAATGATCATCAATTCTACCTGTATCAGGCTCTTGGAGCCTGTTTCAAGCCATACAAGGCCTTTTTCAGCATGCAGACATCATCTTTTCTGCGCCTGCACCCGGGCAGACTGGTTCTCGGTAATAGCATATATTGCAGGAAAATTAATCCCTGAGTGGACCCCCCTCCATCCAGTAATCTTTCCAAAATCTGATTCTGTCCTCACGTCTCACCTTCCATTAGATATGTTTTACGAAATTGTCTTTACCATCCATAAAGCTTTTCCATAAACTTTTTCTATGAAATCTTAACACACCAGGTGTCAGCCAACCTGACTTGTCAAGCCCGTAGTTCGAGACAATAGCTCTCCTTCACAAGGCTTGTTCCTTGTTGATAAAACACCATAACCATTTTCCTTGCAGAGTAGTGTT